AACAGTGCAATGTTTGCATCATTACTTACCACCAATAAGTTCCTGTTTGATTACCCGCAGTGAAGTTATAAACAAATGCACTATTATCTGGAATAACACATTGAGTCTGACGCGAAAATAATGGATGTAAATGTCAAAAGATTTTAAATGGCAGTAAACGATGAGAAGATGGAAAGTTACATATATGTTCGTTCAATTACCTGTCCTGCGACACCATCGTAATAGGTAGTTCCTTGCTGAAAAAGTCCATGCCAATGAATCGTGGTTCCATCATCCAAGTCATTCTGAACATAAATTACCATCCTATCCCCTTTATTGGCACGTATCATTGGACCAGGGTACTGATTGTTTGACGTCCAAACCATTCTCGAGAATCCATCCGGTTTTAATTCTGCGCGAGATAAAGTTAAATTATAATATCTCGTTATGGGTTCAGGTGTAGGTTCTAATGCTAGGAAAGGTTCAAAAAGGTTATCATTGAAGGTTGGGTATGCTCCTCCTCCTTCCGACTCTTGACGTTTGTCGGGTATTGCATTTGTTATCGTTATGCATATTGCAAGAATTGATGTTATCCTCACTAATCTCATTATAATAAATTAAAAAATTTTGTTTTAGAAAAAAAAAAAAAAATTAAAAAGAGAATAATTGATAATGCTATTTATAATTAATTGTATTTTGAAAAAAAAAAAAAAAAATCAAATGTTCATTCATCATATATAACGTTCAAATTAATTCATTCCCGATTACCGTATAATAATATTTCTCAAAAAATTCGCGCAATCAAATTTTAGATAATCATACATAGCTAAAAGTGCGCACTTTTATTTTAATAAAAAAAATCGATCGAAGCTATCCCAAAACTTGAATCCATTAAGAAAGATTGGTATTTCGGTAACTCAATTATATTATAATAACAAAATAAATAAATAAAAAAGCAAGGTTATATTATTGAAAAGTTTATTAGTAATTAATTTAGTGAATTCAGACTAAGCCACATCTAAACGTGCTTAAATATTCTGTGGCTAGTATGTTCAACATCCCTTTTAAAAATCTACAATATCTCACCCGTTAATAAAGGAAAAAACTACTAAATTCAAACTAATACTACATACCGCTAACTGATGGATTTCGAATCTAAGCCCCACTACTTTAATTGGAGGTCAAATAATTTTCTACAATTTCAAAAAAAAAAAAAAGCCCCGTAATCGAATTAACGATAGCTTTACCTTATTCGTTAAAAGAATACAAAGCCACTATCATTTTGGTTTAAACAATAGATCATTTATTATAAAATTAAGCCTTATTTGAAATAAGCCTCGATTATTTCCGCAAAGCCCATGAAAATCTTTTATTTTATTTTAATTATGATTATTATTATTTTTGCTAAAAGCCACACGGGATTAATCAGAATACACGAAGGAAACTTGATTAATTTACCTGCTTCTTTTCTTGATTTTTAGTTTCGTATCACTTATTTGTATCTTGTACTCTTTATTATTAGTTATGAGATGTGATCGATCAATTTGACATTTAATTTTTATAGAAAAACGGAAATTGTGTAAATTCGGATTCAAAACAATCAAATATCACTAAAAAGGGTTCTTATTAACAAAATGAAGGAAATAAATTTCAAATTAATATTATATAAAAAAAGAATTTTTTTTAATTTTTTTTAATTAACCTTTCTACAAAATAATATAAATAATTTCTGTTATATTATTTACTCAGAAATGAAATAATTTTTAATATCCCTTTAGAGCCATAAAATTGCTCAAAGCCACGTTGTGTCTAAGCCACATTTTCTAAACGTGTAAATCACGTGATCATATATTTGGAGCAAATGTAAGAAATTCGCGCTTTTTTAATTCTATATAAAATTCAAATTTTTAAAAAAATAACCGCGGGTATACAAACCTGTTTTTGATCATGTAATATTTTTTTTATTTTGGAAATTTACTGAGAAATTTTTAGATAAAGTGTTTATAATCAAAAATTTTACAATACACAGCCGATAAAGTCGTATGACCGGATCAAGTTATTCCTACCGCGCAACAACTTAAGTTTGTAAGGATCAAATTTTTTGAAAGTCTCAATCATTTTTCTTTAGACGATGATTATTGTCCAAATTAGGTGTTTCGGATTTGTGGGGAAAGTGAAAATTCCCCGGCCGAAATGCTTCGATTTTGAAAAGTTACGTCGTGGGAATTCTTTCTAAAAAATAATCGTAAAAAAATATGTCTTTTAGTTTGAAATTTGGTGTATAACTTTGCATTAACGGAATAGAAGAGTAGTGTGGTACAGTGGAATTGCAGCAATTGGAATGTGTAATGATGCTTTTCGTTTGATTGTTGCGAAGTAAGTCGCGGGCGGTTGTGTACCAATGTCCACATGGCCTCAATCATTTTTGTAACAATTAAGAAGATTGTAATAATTTAGTCTCAAAAAATTTGTAGAAGAGAAATACTTTTTCTTTTGCATTATACATAAAATGCTTTCTTTACAATCTTTTATTTCTTTTATTTTTCTTTTAAGTCTATCACGCGAAATTTCATTTGATGAAAATCAATAATAAACAAACCTTAAATCATTATACATATTTGTCTTAATAAAATTAATAAAATTAGATATCGTCATTTTGAATTCATAATTTGCTTGCTATCAGTTAAATATAGGATAACCTGTAATAAATAATAATTTTTTATTTTTGTTTCGGTGGTTTATCATTCATCTAATTCAAACGATAAAATGTAGCACTAAAGCGTAAGGACAATTAATATTTGTAAATGAATAATTAAGTAGCATCATAATAATTTAGCACTTTTAAATAAAAAGGAATAAAATCCGAGGAAACTGGTTTCACGTGACAATTTTTTAAAAATAAATTCATTATATTGTTTTTATGATAAATCAAAACGGATTTCACATAGAACAATATAATCTTTCAACAAACATGTTAGTTATCGTACTTATAACTAAAGAAAAGAAAACATTTCATAAGATGTTTTCATCTTCTTTTCCCATAAACCCGCCTCCAATATAAATTCTACCATCTCACATTACTGAATCATGACAATTGTTTGTTAATGATTAATAAAATAATTTAAATTCGTGGTGGATACTTTATTGTATTCTACTAGCCAATAAAGAGGTACCTTAAGTGGTAAAGTTCAATAAAAATAGTTTTTGATCGAAATGAAGATATAAAAACTTTAAAACTAGAAATTATAAAGTGAGAAAATTGTATATTGGTTTCATTAAAAAAAAAGAAGCTTATATATACCAACCTTTTTTCCAAAGGAAAAAAAATAATTAATTAATTAAATAAAAATAATACCATCCCTTTACATGCATTATGAGTACTCGTCTCAAAGTCGTTAAATACTCTCTATACGCCACTGTTGAAGGTTTATTAAAGAAACATATTTATTCGAAGGAAAACAAATATTAAAGGTATTACTTTGAGGTAATAAAAAAAAAAATTAACTATTTATGATTATTATAATCTAAGTCTCTTCTTCCAATGCGATGCCTTATGCTGAAAACAAATTTCTCTCGGAGATTCTTCACATTGATGTTTTATGTGGAAGTAGAATTTTACCCATGGATGTTTTGCAGATTATAACCGCTTCTGCGGAAGTTGACGTTATTCATTTGTGAAAAAAAATAATGATTTATTAGTCGTCGCCTCATAATGCTTTACCATCCATATCGTAAAATACAAAGTTAGAATAAAAAATACATCGAAGCAACATGATCTTCTCTATCAACAGGCCAGATCAAGTATTTTTCTTTTACTGTTTTTTTAAGAAAAAATAATATATATTAAATAATTTATATAATTTAAAGAAACTACTTTCACGGGATCTAGAGGTAATCAAAGATGAAATTGCTACTTGTAACATTTATCGGGAACATAGAAAAAAAAAGTTTATAAACTTCCTTTTTTTCAACCGCTTTAAAAGCTGTAATACTTTGTTAAAATGGAACTTTGTTCAAATGGATGATTATTAATTTTTTTTTAGTGGTGATTATGAAGAAGAAACTAAAGATAGGCAGGTAAAATTTTAGAGGATTGGTATAATAGCAGAAAGGGAAATACATTTCATAAAATTAAAGTATTTGGAATTCCCCTGCGTAACCTTCAAAAAATGGTCCGACACTTGTGACGTATAATGGTGACAAATAGATTTTTAAAATTTCTGTCCCCATAATAATTAGTAAAGATGAAACGCAGAGGGAAGTGACACCGGTGACAAATTATATCACGTGAAATTTCGTTGAAGGTTACGCAGGGGAATAGTGTTCAGACCCGGATTGATAATGGGTAAACCGGATCCATCCATTAGCAAAATCCCAAACCGGGTCAACTTTTGATAAAAAATTTTCTATCCGGTTTCTAAATCGGGTTTAAATTGGTCCTCACTATTATACTATTCTTGGAGATTGCAGTTGCTGCTTTCTCCACTAAGATAATGTATATACGATGAATTATAAATCATTTTGTTATTTTTTTATTCTTCCAAGAAAAATATGTACCCCCATCCCCATCAAGTTCAAAGACTGCTTTTGTGATAATTTGTACACTGTGCTTTCTTTAGGTGCTTTGCATGAACTAGCTTAAAGGACATATAGGCTGCTTATATTATATTAATTTCCGATTTTTACTTTAAAACAATATTTTGTAATTTATATTGTACAATTGAAATAAATGTATAACTCATTTAGATTTAACTACTAATTTTATAATATTCGCCGAAGCCACTAAACCATTATTTTAGTAATTAGTCAACAGGGTGAATGGTATTAAAATTGGATGAGTTTCTCTTCAAGAACATAATCTTTTTGAATAAATTTGGTTTCATCCGCATATTTTTATTAGTTAATAAGTTCCCTGCATCGGAAAGAGGCTGAAACTGCAAGGTATTTTTGAGCAAGACCACTTAAAATGGGAAAATTTGCTTTTTTTCACTCCACCACGTGTGAGAATTCGAACCTAAAGAAATTTCTTGTAGCCGATTATATTCTTCAGCTTCATTAATAACAGCTACTTTAGTTTTGGAGAGTCGCGCCATTAGAGTTTTCCTTTTTGTTGAAGGTTTTGATTGAGATGTTGATTGAGTTAATGAATTAGTAATAAACGTTTGATAATTCTCTTTTTCATTTTCAAATAATCCTTGTAGATGACATTTAGTTTCGATTTTGTTGAGCCTCCGAAGCAAAATCAAGTTTTTTAAATCTAGGATCAAGTATCGAAGGAATTAGACTTTCAGTAGTAAGGGTTGGAATAATATTTTTTATATTTTTATATAGTTTTGATTTGACTTTATCTAGCAAATATATAATCCTTCACTTTGTTTTAAACTAATAAAAATAACTTATCCCATCAGTATTATGTATATACTAGTAAATTTTTTTATTACTTACTTAAGGTTGCTTGTCTAAACTCATTTTGAATTTGGAAAAATGTCTATACTATAGTTTCGCTAATTTTTTACTAAGGTTTTGATATAGTTTCGCATTTTATAAGTTTTGATATAATTTTACCTTTTCCAGAATTTCGCAGATTTTTTAATAAGGTTTTAAATATAATTTCGCTAAATTTTACCTTTTTCCATTTAGACGACTTGCAAAACCTCTAGGTTTTATCCAGCAACCTTATACTTACTACATAAGTTTATAATAAGTATATAAATATTAAATATTTATAAATTTATATTAAAACAATACCTATTTATTATATTAATTTTATACAATTAGTAAATAATACAAATTAGTAATGAATATGAAAATACACATTCATGACTGAATTAGAAATAGATATCTTTGAAATTCTGATTGTAATTTTCTTTTTTATATATGGGGGCTAAGCTATTAAAATCACCCTACGGGACATTGTTACACCAATTTTATTGAAAATCAAAAAAAAAAAAAAAAAAAAAAAAAAAAGGAAAATTTCAATAAAAAAAATTTTTTCTGGGGGTATGAATACCCCCCAGACCCCCC